TTAAACAATAATAATGTATATAATAATAATTTAAACAATAATAATGTATATAATAATAATTTAAACAATAATAATGTATATAATAATAATTTAAACAATAATAATGTATATAATATTAACATATACATCCGACTTTGGTGTAAAAACACTTAAAACTATAAAAGGACTGAATTAAATATCCACCGTGAAGAGCTGTCATCAGTCTCCACCATTGGGTTTAAATTAACCGCGTTGCGTGAGTTCTCGCGAGATCTGAGCAACAGCGCCCCCTTGTTTGTGTGTGAGCAACCGACGGGAGGTAATGGGACTACTCCGCGGCTAACGATAGCAAGGGAACACAAATAGGGATTTTAATTCACTTTGGGGTCTCCGCTGGCACTCTGGGGGTCCACCAAACGCTGCAGGAGGACATACTTTCGCATAAACCCTCGGATTTGCTGCCGTATTCCCGTCGAGGCGAGCGGCGCGAACGAAAGAGTCCCGCTAATCCCGAGAAGAGGGCGGAGCGGCCTGCTTTTGTAGCCGGCTCACGGTGCACCTCAGGCGGCCAAGCGCTGCCACCAGAGCCCGGTGCTTCCGCTGGCTTATTTTTCTCCACACCAACAAAAGGCATCAAATCTCGCAACTCATTTTTATTTAACTAAGCAGAACCTCTCTCTAACATACTCCTCTTCCCATCGGCGTGCAAGCTGTCGCCGTTTTCCCCCCAAAAAGAGGAGCTTTTTCACGCCCGGGGCGGCCTGTTTTGTTTTCGAGCCGCCTTTGAATCTCCGGCGAACAATAACACACAACAACCCTCCTTTAACGAGCCTGCTCGGGGGGGTGGAGGGGGGGTTGCAACGGTGCTGGGATCATAAATGCATTATTGTGTGACACCCGCTCCGGTATGGACGTGAAACCCCGGGACGAGCATGCATGTGGGGTATGGATTTATCACCGGGGGAACGACTGCAAACCGGAGCCCTTCACCACCGAATCACCCCCCGTTTGAGGATGTCGGGAGCCGCTGCTGCCGCCGCCGCCGCTGCTGCTGCTGAGAGAGACGACAGCCAGGAAGACGTAAAGATGGAGAACGGGTCGTCTGGTTTTGACATGAGGTCCTACCTTCATTACCAGTCCACCAGCGGCAGCCTTGGGAACATCTCCACCGCGTCCTCCACTTGCTCCAGCCCGCCCGGCACACCTGCCCCGTCAGGTAAAAGCAGGTCGCCGTCGCACGGTGGCAAAATGTCCAGCGGGAAGTCAAAGAAACGCCTGGACAAGGACAGTGAAGAGTACAGGGTGAGGCGGGAGAGGAACAACCTCGCCGTGAGGAAGAGCAGGGATAAAGCCAAAATGCGCAACTTGGAGACTCAACATAAAGTGCTGGAACTGGCTGCGGAGAACGATCGTTTACAAAAGCGCGTAGAGCAGCTGTCCAGAGAGCTGGCCACCCTGCGCAACTTGCTCTCTGCCACCGGACAATGTTAAAATTTATAGATAGAAAACCTCCACCAGAGACTCCACACGGATCTCTGGTTTTGTGTCTAATCATTGATGGACTTTAGAGCCGGAGGTGATCCACTGAGCTAATGCTGAAAAACGGTACGCTTCACAAGTGAAGACAGTGACCACAGTTTACAAGGACACTTTGAATGGGACTGAAGAAGTGGGTGCATGGATTGCGCAATCATTCACGATTCTTCACATGTCACTGTAGCTTTATTCTCAGATGTAATTTTTTTGTGTGTGTATGCAGTATTTTCTGTGCAGGTTTTACATACATGAGAGTGAATTTCTACATTTTTTTGTGTGTATCTGGAGCAATGGTTGTCAAGGGAAGAGTTGTGCTGCAGTGAAATGATGCAACTCTTTGTAATAGTATTGGCAATGAATGAAATAAGTCTAATTATTTAATATTGAAAGGGGAAATGCATTAATTGTACTTGATATTTTATTGAATTAAACAGATTTATACTTTGTTTAAACAATTTCATTTGTAATTTCTTATTTTTCTGTCCCTTTTTTGAAGCAGGTGTCGGCTGAGACAGACAGACAGACATGCTTGCCTTTAAATATTCACATCATAGTCAGACTGTGTATTACAATGTATTTCAGTTATAGTGAAGATAACAAGTGGCTCGACAGTAAGGCACATTTGCAATCTTTTAATTCAGGCCAATATACCGAAATGGAAAGAGACGGTAACATATTGTAGGAATCTTATGTTTCTTTCTAGACACTGAGTGTAATTTTATAAATCTAGTCGTCACCAGTAAGGCTACAGACATTTTAATAATTCCTCGGATCACCATCATCGCCATTCGTTATCATTTATGGTTTCCACAAAGCTGAAAATGGCTTTCACTGGTTGGATCAGCACACCTGTGGTAGATAGAAACTTCAGTTTCTGTATTGAGAATATAAAATGAGGATTAATGTGTGAAATTCTGTTTTTGTATTTCATTTAAATACAATAGAAAATCATTTGGTTTATGTCTGACAACAGACTCTCCACACTGTTACTGGGTAACTTAAATCTGTGTTTACTCATTGATTGGACGCAAAAGTCCTCAGATCCTGAAATATATCCAACAAACCAACCAATTTATACTGAAACGATACTGCTGAGAGCAGCAAAAAAAGAAGAAAAAAAAAGACTCTGCACGCAGCACAGAAATGTTAGCTTTATCTTTAGCACACGGCTCTGTCAATAGTCTGCTGGGTCCACTGGCCCAGAGAGAGGTTCAAGGTTGCATAGAAATTAATCAGCAACTAAACTCCTCACACCACCTCAGGTCTCGCTTCAACAGCCAAGACCTGGGAGAGATATGAATAATCCTGAGCAAACCTTGTTCAGACCTCAAGTGGAAAACCCTCAGCAGAAAATGTAGAAGTTAAAAATGGGAGTGACAAAGGAGGTTTCACCAGACATGATAGATAAGTTGACAATTGGTTTGCAGTGGAATTTACCAAGCCCTCAGAGTGCATTTCACTGTGTGCACAAAGTGAAACATATCTGCAGTGAGCAAAGCAAACCCCAGACAGATAGGATAAAGAAAAGAGGCATGGTTGGATTTGAATGTAATCCACGATATTTCAGGGTGGGGATTGTTTTCTAACTCCCGCTTCAAACAGGGAAGAGGTAAAAAAAGAAGAAAAAACCCAACCTCTGTTAATGTTTTATAAGGAGACACGTACAATGGCGCTGAAAAGTTATGTTATAGCCTCCAAATAATGCATAAAAAGTGTGATGTTTGTGCTGTGAGGGATGACATTTTGAATACAGTGGATATTTCAACACACTCAATGATGGAACAGTTTAGCTTTTAACTGTTGTGCAATATCCTCCCTTTCCAACACATCATCACTTGAAGAATGCTACACCCACATTTAAATAAGACATTGTTATCCTCCAAAGCACACAGGACAATAGCTGTAAGTAGCTGTGGCCTGGCTTTAAGCTGCACTGGGAACAAAATAATGAAATAAAAACACAATTAACACAACCACAGTAATGTGTGAGATAATATATGTTAATAATTTAGCATCCAACACTCCCTGTGACTTTTTTCAGGGCAGATGTTGCTCTCGCTGCTCTGGTTTTAAGCTGTCAGCGCTGGCACAGATTCAATCACACATTCTAGGCATTCTTTTCTTCGATGACCCCTCATTTCCTAACGTAGCCCCACGCAGTCTTTTCCCTGGTCTTGGCTCACACGCTGACAGGAGAGAGGGAAATTCCCACACAGGATGACCTCTTTTCTTCAAAGTTTAGCCCAGCCCCCTTTCCACATTTTACCGTCAATGGGCAGTGTCTGTCCGTAAAGTCCTTGTTGCATCACAGCCCCTCCACTGGCCAACTGGCCTCCTAAAAAAACTCCTCTGATAAAGCAATACAAACACATGCACACACACGCGCGCGCGCACACACACCTGTCACTCCAATGTTCACTCTGTACTAGTTGTTGAGAAATTGAAGGATTTTAGTTTTTAGCCATGAGTCATTTTAGTATATTCTTTTGACGCTTATAAGAAGTTTTTTGTTCCTCAAAAAACATTTCCTTCAACGTTGTATCAGATTGTATTTTCCAAATTAATCACCAAGTTTAATGATGACAACGTATGCTTATATCCTTATATCCAGATTTTCTTGCTGACTGCACCACGTTACACAAGCGTGTTGAAGTAAAATTACACTATGGACATGGAAGGTAATTTTAAAACAGGTATAAGTTCAGATTAATGTAAAGAGTTGCAACAGTTAGTTGAGTTATTGATTAGTTGATCTCTAACTCTTTTTGATTGTGAAATAATTGTTATAATTATTTTTTAAGCAAAAGAAAGTCAAATATTTGCTTTTTCTAGCTTCTCAAATCTGTGTGAAATTATAAAAGGGCATTTTATAGACAAAACCATTAATCAGTAATGAAAGTGAACAAACCTCCAGCTGTTGTTGGTTTAGTATACACAATGAGGCAATGTCAGTTGCCTCATAACATCACTTTATTATCACAATTGCAATAATATAATTACATAGAAATGACTATTATCTGTTTATTTGGTTTCAATTTGCAGCCAAAAACTACTTTTTTACATATATATTTAATAAATTTTATTACAGCATCCAAATCCCATTAAAACACCCAAACTAACTACACGTTAGTCTCGTCCATCTCTCTATATATTTCTCTTAGTATGAGTCTGACTTCCCTTTGTCTATAGAACTCAACCGCAAACACGCACTGGTTCTTACTGAAGATACTAATCATTAAAAATAGATGACAAATACCTACTTTCATTTTTACGGACAGAGCTCAGTAATTTCCTAAAACAGTTGGTTGCTGTAGTTATTCGCAAACTTTATTCAAACAAGAGTAAATAGTCTATTTGTTTGGGACCATTTTTAGCCGCAGATTAATATACATATTTTGCTCCAGCTGGACAGTGTGTGTGGGACTGAATCAAAATAAACTACAGTGCCGTTCATCATAATGAAGACACCTATCACCCAGTGCAACAGTGTGGCTCATTGGTGTGGTTTTAATTGTAATGGAGCTTCATGGCACAGAAGAATAAGTTATTATCAGGCTTTGGTCCACACAGACAACTCTTGTTAGTAAACTTAAATGTTGGTTTGGGTCTTTTTATTATATTTTATCTCCCAGATACACAGATCTTTTTTTGCAGTTTCATATCCACCTGATTACAATTAAGCTGTGGAGTACGTCAAAGCTCTGTTCTGGGTCCTGTTTTGTGTTGTTCTGCCAATTTTTTCCTTTAATGTCTTTAATTATCTTAAAGTAAATGCAGATGGAACATAATTGGTTATTTTTAACCTGATTAAACTCTAAAATGTTTTATTATCTGACTGAACAGACCGGGAGTCAACTTTGATTCTGGTCAGTTTTTTTGAACAACAGATTAAAAGAGAAGTTGTGTTGTTCCTTACATTTTAGGATCCATCCACTTCATGTCACAGGCTGACTTATAACCAGAGCTAAAATTAATGATCATATGACTCCAAACTTAGAGAACTTGAACTGACTTGTAGTTAATTTTAGAGTAATTCAGGACACTTCGATATAGAAATAAGTTGTGTAGAAATATTTGAAGCTTTAGTTTCTTTATTATTGTTGTAGTATTCTAAAGAATCTTTTATCTGTGTTATATAAACCCTATTTGCTCACTTCTTAAGAATTTTAAAGCAAAAGACGATTGACCAACATGGACTTTCTTATCATTTTTGAGTCTAGACCAAAGAACAAAATGTGGTCAAGATGTCTAGGCCCCTAAACTCTGACATACTATGGAAAGCAGCCAAACTTGTGTCATATTTTTAACCACAATTAAAACATAGATTGACACACATATTTCTAAATAAGATTGCTAAGTGTTGGTGATTTTAACACTGTGATTTTGGGTGTTTATTACAGTTCCTCCTCTAAGTGAAAGGGACACCGGATATCCGGACCATGGGTTGTAACGGGAAGCCAGACCGCCTGAGCTACGGTAAATGGACCCGAACATGATCCGTGTCTTGAAGTGCACCAAGATTTCAACATATTTTGTTCACTTCTGCTATTTTGCTGTAGATGACAGTGAAAACTGACGTGCAGAAATGACTTGCAAGTGTCACTGCCCATATCTTGTGTAACACCAGGCCATCCTTGCAAAATGACAAGAGTTCATTTCAATACACTCCATGTGTGAAAGTTTAATTGATGCGTTACGCAGAGGGATCAAATATTTCCTTACTTGATACAGAACACTGTAATGATGTATAATTAACAAATCAATTTATACATTAATATGTAAATTAAGAACTTTACTTGCCACTGGGTTTTTACACAATTTTTGGAACCTGATGGGAAAAAAGTTGAACGTTTAAGTGCCGTTTGGGACAAAATTGTGATTAAGGTGGTTTAGTTGCCTCTCACGTTAAAATAATTTAAAAAATATAAAGATTTCATCACTGTTTCAAAAAATAAATGAGTTGCTTTACCACTGCATGATCCCCCAGAATACATTTGGATTTATTTGAAAAGTTGATTCGGCACTCACCATTTCATTAAGTGACACGTGCTCTGTTAAAATGTGACCAAATTCTGATTATTTTTCAATAGTAGTAGTTTACTGATAAAAGAAAGTAGTGATATAGGACATACTCTCATCGTTTACTTAAAAGTAGCAATACCACAATGCAAAACCATCCTATTATGATAGGAAATTTCAACTTTAACAAGGAAGATACATATTTTCAAGCATTATTTAAGTTACAGGATGTAGAAATGCCCTAGAAATATTATTATATATACAGTATATTGTATTATTGTATCAATATTACAGATGCACATCATTAAAATGTTTTATTTGGTTGAGAATGAGCAAAAATAGTGACTTTAATATATTGTAATATAGTTTAATCTAGAACAATGCATCACATTTTACAAGCTGATCATATGATTTGTATGTAAAATCTTAATATGTAAAGTAAATGTAGCTGAGTAGAAAAGTATAAGAATATTTCCTTCTAAACTGTATTGTGTAAAGTAAAAAATACGATTTTATTGGTTAAAAGAATAAATAAATAAATACTACTAGTTACATTTCCCCCTAAACAGAGTCCTTTCAGTCGTTCAGGGTCTCCTCACATGAAGAAAATCATTCAGTCTTACCAAATAAAAGCCAACATTGATTTAACTATTGAACGCTATTATCATATCAGCTCCTCCACACAGACAGGTAGACCTCTGGTATTTCTTGTGTTGTTCATTATTGCAGGACTTTATAAAAAAGGAAGATGTCTTTCGAGGTGCAGAAGTTTCTGTCAATATAGAAAGTTCAGCCCATTGCACTATTCCTCAAAGCTCTCCTCTAAAACTTTCCTAGATTACTAGACACTATGACACACTGTCGATTAAACCTACATCCTGTTTTATTTTGACAACCAGGCCTTAAAAAACGGATTTTTGTTGAAGTGAAAATCTCAGAAAACGTACGTATTCAGTAAAACAGAGGAAAGATGAACATTAATTAAACCAGCTCTGCGTGAACATTGAAATTTGAACACTTTAGCAGCCGTTGTGTGAAAAGTCCCTGACCGTTTAAACAGGTTATATTCAGGTGTTTAATCCCAATTCAAATGCAAGGTCCCACCTAAAAGGGTTAAAAAAATAAGATATGTTATGTATTAAGAGGGGATGGGTGTGAATTTAGATTTAGAGTGATAGGAAGATAAAACTGTGGGAAGATTGTTTCCCTTTGATCTTATGACTGCATGTAAGACAGGCTGAAGGGGAAATGTTTTAAAAATGAAACAATGCCGTTTTGTTTACGAGCTGCTGCAAAGTAAACGACCAAAAACGTAAAGCAAATTCTCAGATGTACACTTGTGAAATCACGGATAGCAGCTTGATATAATAGTAGTCATGTGTGGGCTTTGACATGTACATATTACTCAACAGGAAGTAGGGTGTGTTGCTGATGGTGGCAGCCATGAAAACATTCACCACCCACACTAGCTTAACAATGTGAGCATCCACACGTTTACCACCTTACCTTTCACCTGAATCCCAAATGCTGTTGTCGCAGACACGAGCCCACTGACAAGCATTTTTGTGTGTGTGCGCTTCTGTCACGGATTCAGTGTTCCATCAGTGAAATCGAACCCACAATCATGTATCAGATGCAACAAATAGTCGTATTTTTCCATAGCTGCTATGAAGAAGAAAAAAAAACATCAACAATAACCCAAAAAGAACACAGTGGTGACATCTGCGGTTTTGAGCAGGCAGGTCAGTCAGCTTTGTTTACATGTGGACCATATTTCGTCGACGTCATTACTCCAGGATGCGGGAACTTTGAAACGCACTAGGGGAAGCACCAGCTCCAACCCCTCAGTATTTACGCTATGACCTACATGCATGAACTTAGCCTATGACAGTCGAAGGGCTATATGTCACATCGCTGTCAATTTGTGACAGTTGGTCGACAGCAGCAGCAGCAGTCAGGGGGACAGGAACAGGAAGAGGAACTGCTCACGAGTGAATGTCTCAACGTAACTGAGACTGAACCTCTGGCTGAGACACTTGGAGTTTAAATGAGAACAACAACGCAGTGTTTTTACATAACAGTCATGTTGCTTGGGAAGGACAGAGAGTTTTATGATGAAGATAGATCACTCTGCTATGTTTAATACGTTTACTTAAGTACTAATATCACAATGTAAAAAAATACTCTAATGCAAGTAGAAGTCCTGAATTAAAAAAACATACTTAAGTACAGTGGTATTATGAGCAACATGTGCTTACAAGTAAGTAAAAGTGCTTGTTTTGCAGAGATATTGCCCAATGTGGCTGATACATTATATAACATTATACAATTATTAATACTGATGCACTAATGCTTGAGTTGTATTTTCCTGTTGCAGCTGATTGTGATGGAGCAACTTTAAGTTATATACAGTTTGATCAAAGGGTCACAAGATAAATCTGAGGGGTCGTGAAATGATTAATGGGAGAGGAAATAAGAAGGAATTAATTTCTGTAACATGAATTTGTATTCAGTTTTTCATCTTTTACTAATGTTTGCTTTTTTAAATATCGGGCCTTGAACAGTTACTTGAATTAAACCATCTGAGGGGTTTAGAAGGTAACTGCTGACATTGAGGCTCGCTGGTTTAATCTTCAAAGGAATAGTTTGTCCTTTGGGAATTACAGTTTATTTGCTTTGTTGCCAAGAGTTAGACTAGCTTAGCTTAGCACAAAGACTGGAAACAGTAGGAAACAGTTAGCCTGGCTCTGTCCAAAGCAAACAAAATACATCAACCAGCACCTCTCAAGCTCACTAATTAACTCATTATATCTCCTACACAAACTGAAGTGTACAGACACAACAGTGTTTCAGTTTCAGTTTTATCATCCAGCTTTCATCAAGTCTAATTTTTACACTTTGGTTTTTAGTTCATCAGAGAGCTTTAAAGGCTGAGTGTGTAGGATTTAGTGTCATCTAGCAGTAAAGTTGCAACTAACTGAACACCACTCACGTCTGTAGTTGATAGCCTGGGAATGAGAATGGGCAGTGAAGCGCAAAGGAGACAGTACCTTGTGAAAAATGCAAAAGGCCAATCTACAGCCAGTGTTTGGTTTGTCCCTTCTGGTCCACTGTAGAAACATGGTAACAAAAACAGAATGATTATATATTCAGGTGATGATACACAAATGAAAAAAGCGGCTTGCTGTAGCTTCATATTTGGCGTAGATGACATGAGGGTGATACTGATTTTCTTATTTAACTCCTGGCAAGAAGAAAATGTCAAACTATTCCTTTAACAACACATTACACTAAGTATGAATCTGTAAAAGTAACTAGTGACTATAGCAGATAATCAGATAAATATAGCAAAGTAAAAAGTACATTATATCCCTCTGGATTGTCGTGGAGTATAAATATTAAGTAGCATGAAATGGAAATACGCAAGTGTAGTTAAAGTGCCTCAAAACTTCACTTAAATACAGTTGCCCCACTTTGCCCCACCGATCGATACTGAACATGTTCTCACACTCATTCACTCATCTGCCTTTTTTTTTAATTTTGAAATGATTAGGACATGAAGAGGCATGGTTCACCTGAAAGTACTCACACTTCCTGGTATCAAACTTCCATTGTATGTGTGTGTATGTGTGTGTGTGTGTGTGTGTGTGTGTTTGTGTGTTGACTCAGACTTTGCAGAGTCACACTTGGAAAGCTCTGACTCCCCTCGCATTCAGGAATTTCCTGATCCACACTCGGCTCCCTGCGAAAATGATCTGCAGGCTACAAAAGAGACTTACAGTCAAAGATCGTCCCACCCACCCTCACAGCTGGCCTGCTATTGGGAAGTTCCAGGTTAATAACTAAACTCAGGACACATGCTGAAAGAGTCAGCAGGGCAGGGCAGATATCCTTTTTGGTCGATTGTGAATGTGTCAGCATTGTGCAGAATTAGGCTGAGTAAGGAGGCACTGTAGGACAACACAGACTGCACTTCTGACATTTATTCAAGTCATAACCTGATCGGAGGGATCTTTGGAATTCATCACCAAAAATCACTAAACATTAAAAACGTATAGGTAGATGACATGAGATATGACATACATTCACAATAACAGCTTATTTATAATTAGTAAAGTAACCAAATGACAAAAGTCTTCACCACAGACAGCATGAGTCAGGAAAACACTGTAAGATCAGACGGTCTGTAGTTTCAATAGAAACAATTGTGGCTTTAAGATGACTTCCGGTCACACCTTGATTGTAGTTGCAGATGAGAACGGCCTGTTGCTGCCTGTTCTTGTTTGGCTTTGACGTCAGCAGAGAGTGGTTCTATTACTCACTCTGTTTAAGTTGCATTCCAGTACGGCACGTACTAGTGCCTGCCTCTTATTTCCCAAACAGGAAGTTCTAGCTCTGACTGTTGCCAAATCCTCCGCACTACGCCAGTGTGGTGGAGTTTACACAAGCAATTGCATGTGTCTCAAGACTCCTTCCTTCCCTCAGTGTTCACTGGCCATCATTATTGTCTTCCACTGCAACAAACCTAAACTTCAGTTTGGACATCAGCTTTAAGATTTTGTGTGTCAGTGTATTAAAGGGAACTGGGTGTGTGTGTGTGTGTGTGTTCACAACAAACTGTTGAGAAACTATTTTATATGAGTAATGCCTGTGGTGAGACTGGCCAGATTAGGTAGAGAGAATTCAAAGACCAGTTTTGGAAGCTAAAGAACATATTTATAAAAAAACACTCTTCATGTTGTTGGAAGCAAATAGATTTTAAATCAAAATGAGAGTATATTTGAATAATTGTGGCAGGCAGCATTACTATCCCCTTAAAAACTGAAGGCAGTGTGTGTTCTTCCAGCTGAGGAACACTCCTGACTCCAGTTCACTGTAAATAAAAAGGTATCATCAAGAAAACAGGAAAGAGTGAGTTGCAATGAAAGCCAATGTTTCACGGTCTCAGAGAGCCACCTTGTGGTAGTTTTAAAACACTACACTCATCCCCTCTGGAAGCAGATAATTATCAGTACTTTTAATGTTTGATACATTTTCTGCAACACAATAAAGGAAATGTAAAAAGCACAATAAGTCTTCCTCCGACTGGAACATTTACTGACATCATTGGAGGAACCGTTCATAAAGAGTCAGCTGTAGCAGCAGTAAGCTGTAATGTCTTTATCCATTCTCAATCAATCATTTACTGGTGTTTTACAGATCAGTGAATTACCTTCCATTGACTAGTTAAACAGTTTGAGCTGCACACAATGGACCAAAATCTATTTATTAATAACTTATTAACACTTTTAATTAGTAGGACTTAGTAAAGTCAACATTTGTAACTGCAGCCTTGACGGCTTATTTAGAACGTGAGGAACCCCTAAGCAACTATTAATAAATTACCAACATTTATTTAACTGTAAACCCCAAAAAAATTCTAATTAATGGCTCATAACTGATCTATAAAGTATTAGTAAATTACTTATTAACAATTAATAAAGCCCCTAATAAAAGGCGATGTATTAGAAAGTTGTACCAATACTTCCAAAAACGTCAGAAAAGGTTATTTTATTGACATTACGCAGCAGCATTTTATTGATCGATGACTTAAAGTTATTACTAATTATCATTAAAATAACAACAGGAGATCTGAGGACACTACTCCTGTTGTTAAATCTTTACATTCACTGCCAGTAAGTTAGAGAACTGACTTTAAAGTGTAAACATCTATCAAAATACATCTCTGATATCCCTGAACAATGAACCGAGTAGATCTGTGAAGTCTTAAAGAAGCAGTCCGCTGGTAGAACCTCGAGTCAGAACCAAAGACAGACGGAACCAGTGGCTGATATTGAAGACATCTTGGTATCGTGTCGGTATCTGCGTTTGTTATCAGATATGTGCTGATATTTTTCTGGTGAAATACTGTGGCAAGCAGCAGAGTAGTTCTAGTTCTTCTACTAGAATTAGTTGACAATGTATATGTTAAATTATTTTACGTGTTAATGGATATTTGTCTTAGATATTCTTTAATAAAGTTTATTGTTTGGAAAGTCAACTTTTATCTAAACAATTCACTGTATCGACCGATTTCATGTGAAAATAGCTGCTGTGAAAAATGTCTATTATATCCATTTTATTTCTCTCGTTATATATATTTACTTTTCGACTTGACTTTTGTCCATTTTTGTATGTTTTTAAACATTGGAATCCATTTCTCCACCTTATCTAAAAGGTATATAATAATATAAATACGCTCTCCTTTCTTCCCTATGATACATAAATCAACCGTAGCTGCAACAGGTCAGATTAAAATAATAAGTATTATTCATGCAGTTTGTGACTATGATGTAGATTCATTACATTGCTCATTATAATATCTCTGATTAAATGCAACCTGCTCATTCAGGTCACAGAAAAACTGCCCCTAGTGAAGGAAGCTGCCAACTCTGAAGCTGATTATAGTTTGTTGGACGATTGTAGCTCTGCAGCCTGTTCTCTGTGTAACCAAGTTATAAGGAAAGTGTCTCTTTGTGGCACATTCACAACACACACAGTTCAGTAAGACACATCGGCCTTTTGTACTCATATTATTGACCCAACAATGAGATAAAAACACAGTGATGTGTGACCTTTTTATTACCATAGTCATTGTTCAGAAGTACGACTGAGAATGAGGTTATAGGTGTAAATCTGTTCTACAAACCAGAACAAATCAACAGTAGACTTTTTATTTTTATTTAAAAAGGAAAACAAATGTAAATAAAAAAATACATGTTTTTGAGCTCAGCATTGAGTATAGAAAAAACAGGTACAACCTGGTGCAATGGCTGCACAGGTGCTGAGACTTTACCTCTGGCTAAAGCAGGACAACGAAAAAAAAACAACAAAAAAAGAAACTCAGCACACTGAAACCTGATTTGAAAAAAAAAATATATATATATATCTAATAAGAGTTTCCTTGGAGAGGACATTTATACATTCTAAAGAAAGGTACAGCTGTCGGACTCAAGTACTGAACTTTAATCGAGTCACAAAAAGTAAACTGAATGCTAGCAGCTCAGCTAATCTCTTCTTAGGACAAACCTCTTAATTCACAAATGCAGCATGCTAAAAAAAAACAACAAAAAACAACAAAAACAAACAACGTAATCATACAAAAACAATATTGCCAGCTCAGAGCCGCGCCATGATACGACAGATAATCACTACAGTGTATTGTTTTCATCCCTGTGCTGGTGTTTGATTTTTGGTTTGTTCAAAAAAAATCCCTGTTCAAACTCAGAGTTTATAAAGTAAAGGGTGACGCACGTTAAGTCTTTGTATTGCTGGCGAAAAGAGTCGGCCGTCACTTCCTTTATCTAACGTCTTGGACTCGCTGGTATTTGCACTCGGACTTGGCCATTGGTCTCGCCAAATACTCTACAGCTGGTCTCCACCGAGTCCAAACACACACACACACACACACACACACATATATTTATTTATTTTCAGAGGTAACTTCAAAACAAAACCACCGATGAAGCGCGCTTGTTCTGAAAAACAGGTATTGATTTAATTCATTCAAAATCCAAAGAACGGGCGCTGACATTGGCAGCCTGGTAACCGCGGTTACCGGGTTAGGTAACCGCGGTTACCGGGTTAACTAACCGCGGTTACCGGGGTAACTAACCGCGGTTACCGGGGCTGCCAATGTCAGCGTCACTCGCAATCATACGCCTGCATCTCACTGCATCGGCAAAAGGCAAAAGCATTATTTTTCATTTCAGTCTCTCTCACCTGGACTCTGGACTCTGGACTCGACTGGTCCTGGTCCTGGTCTCGGTGCAGCACTACGTTAACTCCGCCGACTGAACACGCGTGACTTGTGACTGCGTGTTATCAGATGCATTCAGGTTACGATAGACATTCTCTCGCCGTTAAAAAGCCTCCACGCATTTGTATCCACTGCGACTAAAAAGATGTTCTCCCAAAAAGAGTAAGTAGTAAAGCAAAAGCCGGTTGTTATAAATCTCCAGATGGCAAACGGAGAAAGAGACACTTGTGTTATTATCGTCACCGTTGAGCCGCCGGGGAGAGAAAAAACGCAAAAAAGGGAATCGGTCACCAGGAGGCAACCCAGTCTACATCTCACATTTGACGTATTGTAAATGTTTAAATTAATATTTCTCACAGAGTCGATTGAACTCAAGCATCAGTAGAAAGCTCCACTAACTACCACACACACACACACACATACTGCATGTATTCATCTAGCACGTCTCTCCCGCAGACCCACACGGGCCGCGAGTGAGGACAGATCACAATTACTTACTTTCACATATTTCACCTCACTGTAGAACAAAAAAAGCTTCTGAAGCGTCTTCTTACTGGCATCATTTCAGACAGGCTGGTCAAAAAGAAAATCTGTCTCTATAATTTTCTGATCTATTTGTGTAAGCAAAAGACAGACACGGTGGAAAGACGTGAAATCCTAGTGGACACCTTGAAATGGAAGAACACAAACACGTTTGGTATATAAGACAGGAGATGTAAAATGGGCTGACGGGCCATTCATCCTGGTTCACAGAACAGGGGAGATAAAACAAACCATTTTCCTCTGCGGACCGCGATACGTATTGTTTGTTGAGTCTGTGTTTAAGTCGGCACACGTGTTTGGGATATGACACCTGAAGAACAGAGGCCCTGAGCATCCAAGATGACACATGGAAAGAACGGTTGGGTTACTCCCAACCAGCCAACCCCTCGCACTGCATCTGTAAAATAAACCAGTGAACCTGAATCTGCAGAGGAAGTCCAAAGAATCCCCTCACTCGCAGAGCAAACCCAGAGTCAAAGCAGGCTGAGTGGCCAGCCGAGTCCACTTTGCAACATCAGTGGAGAAACAGGGAGAACCAAGAAGGAGGAGGAAGGACAGACATCAGTGGAAATAGGCTCGATAACATACGTAAGCGCTGAGAGCCAGCGCCGTGCCCAGGCACACGTTGGTTAGAAGAGGGGACCAAGTCCCCGGCACAGGAGAGCTTTCCTTTGGCTGCTCCTCTTCCTCGGGCTGCTCCTCTTCCTCGGCCTCGTGCTGCTGCTGGGATTTGGTCGGAGCTCTGGCGGTATGCTCTTCGATTCCCACGCAGCCATCGAGCTGATCGGCATCGTCAGGAGGAGGCTCGGGGGCAGCGACGTTCCTCTTTCTCAGCTCCGACTCCTGTGAGGACCTGAATGAAGACAGAGAACAGCTGTAGTGTGGTTCAGTTTGGTTTTATCAGATGGATTTAACAGCACCAGCTCCTTTAGAATAGAACAGAAGACCTTTATTGTCACTATACGCATGTACAATGAGATTAAAAGCTCCAACAGCAGCGTAAATATAAACAAAGGACATAAAGTATTAGTAAATGTGCCTGAGGAGGTTCAAATGAAGCCTACTTATGTTTCCTCAATTAAACTTTCAAAATCATTATTTGTTTACCCCAGACTGCGGATCTCCATCGGCTGGATAACCTCAGCGTTCTCAGGGAAAAAGGATGGCTCAACTTTGCTGTTGTGTGGGTCTCTTGGAGGAGGAAGAGGAGGAGGAGGGGAGAACTCCGGAGGATCGTCTTCCTCGTTTGAGAGCTCCTTCCACGACTCCTTGAGGAGAAAAAAAAACAAAAACCCTTTGAGCAAACACACTTTACATTAAATAGAAACTTAAGAACAAAGAGCAAGGTAGAGAGGAAGGACTTGCCTGCAGCGACGTATCTCCCTTGATGTACTTGGCACCTTCAATGACAGCCAGGTAGGAGAAGCGAAGTTGATCTGCCGTCTGAATCAAGCCCATTCGATAGCGTCGCATCTCCAGCAGCACATCACGAATCCGCACCGAGGACGGGTCTTTACGCATGGACATCTACACACAACAGCGAACACATTCAGTGCGTCAGAGGCTTGAGTTTGATGTTACTGTTACTTACTAACGATCGGAGGATCTCGTGTTGTAACGCTGGTTCTTTTTGTCAGCTCATTTCCTGCACAGTGTCGCCGAGAATGGCAATGTCATACTTTCTCAATAGCAGAACTCAGTACAAACCAGTAAGAGGCAGGTGTCCACGAGACAAAATGTCCCCGAGCGTCCGATGCCGGCGCTGCAGTGCACCACCACCGGTCCCTGGTCCGAATTCAGACAACCAGACTCTCGCACCTTGAACAGGAAGTTAAGGAAGGAGGCGGGAGACTCTGGTACCCCAAAGTCCGGCCAGGTGGTATAGTGAAAATGTAAAATCTCACGAGTCTCTTCAGTCTGGAAAGGAAGATCGGAGAGAAAACAGACACGGAGGAAAGATTAAAAGACCGAAGAACATCTCCACTAAACCCTAATCTGAAACCACACTTTTAAAAAAACAACAACTCTAGGAATAAAATACTCACAGACAGATTTTCCAGCTCCAGCTGACGGACTGTATAGTAAGATTTGATGTCTTCTGAGACAAGAGTAAGCTTGAAATTGGTATCTTCAAAGACAGCATCTCTCTCCTCTCTCTGTGGCCAATATTGGGCACATTTGACCTAAAAACCAAACAGAGGTGCACATTACAGATAACAGACGCAGAAATGCATAACATATTGACACGGTCACACGTTGAAGTGTAACTACACCCTTCAATTCTTCATGCTCCCTCCCTCACAATGTAGAAAATGCATCAGAGACCTGCAGGGGACAGAGACTTAACGGGGTGTGGCCTCGACACCGATCGGCGTGATTGACAGGCTGACCACAGCGGCGCAGCAGAAACAGCGAGATAACGAGCAGCTGCTGTCAAAAGTCTCTGCCCGAGCTGGAAACACGAGTCCGCTCAAGGTTTTACACTCACTCGAGGCACTTTGACAGCTATTTGTAAAAGCTGCTCAGTTTTAACACCAGCTTTAATGTGTTTAATGTGTTTCATCACAGTAATGTAACAGCAGCTCAAAAAACACGTTCGAGGGTGGAGTACGTCTTTGAAATCGCACTGTATGCTGGACAGGAAAGTAAAATTCCACCTCAGGTTAATAAATCTCGCATGAAACATGTTGTTTTTATATTTATTTGATAAGCGATCATAAATATATCAACCGCTAATAATAAAAAAACAACTATTTGTACAGCGGCAAGTGGAAAACGTTATTGTCGAGCCGTGTGCTTACAGATCCTTTCTCTATGACTCGGTTCAGCATCACGACACCGCGGGTCCTCTGCTCCCACACCATCTCCCAGAAGTGGCCACATGTGTTTGGAAGCGGTCCCTGAAAGAGAAAGAAGGTTTTATTCTCCGTAGAACGACAGAACACCAGTGCATCTATTTAAACATGTATTGAATGTAGTGAATCTGCAGCCAACACACGTCAAAAAGTCCTATTTTTGTTTGATTTATTCACTAAAACCTCTCAGCCTCTTACTGTCCAGCTGCAAACATCCAGATGAGAGACGAGAATAACTTATAAAAACGTCGATATCTGAGTCCCCAACAGCCACAAGCTTTACGAGCAGAGCAAGCCCGAGTTGTGACTCTTTCCCGCTCCTGGGTTTCACAACCCGCTCAGACTACAATTAAGGACGTACTGAGAGAACACCTAAACCAAAATAGCTAACATTAATGTAGAAAACATGTAACTAGACATATAGAAAACACTCTTTCTCATCCCTGTGCGCTGTTGTTTATATTTTACATGATCGTTTTGTACTTACTTTTGAAAAACACTCATTGTGAAGTCTTCCCAGTGTCACAGCACTTAAGAAACTACTTTAATTGCTTCACACACACACACACACACACACACAACACACCCACACACACACAACACACACCACACACACACACACACTCTCTGTGTCTCTTGACTTTCTTCAGAAGTTATTGTTTTAAATGTATTTTTTAAGGCGTTAATTTGGGATAATTTCTTCCAACCCACGATTCCCTTTTTACATCCGGCAGTTGCCGTTCTTAAAAGACTAAGTTTATTAAAACTACAGAAACCAGAATGCACCATAATAAATAAACCCACGACAAAATATACAAGGTACTGTAATTATTTGACGTATTTCCTGACAGCTGAGCAATGTTTTATTTCCAGCGATGTTTTCTTCACTTTCTGAAATTTAGAACTAAAAGTAGAACGTTGCCATTGTTGTAAAAGTTGCTTAAAATATCTCAAAATGGTACTAGTGTAGTCGGGTGTGTTTAGCCGATAAACAAACAGGTCTTCAGACACATCTGCAGGCAGCGTGTGGAACAATGATCAGCTCCTCCACTCTCACCACACCCGTCCTGTAAACATTTACGACTGAGATATGAAATCCTGTAGACATACGAGGTTAGAAATGAAACTTGTCTGTTGTTTTGGGTAACCCAATCGAGGGATCGGACTGACCGCTAACTGGCCAACTCTTACTGCCGTTCACTTTGCTTCTTGTGTTGTAAAATTATGTGGTATAGTCAAGAGACGTCTCTCTCACACTGGTGTTTCTACGTGTGGTGTGTGTGTGTGCTGGTGTGATGTTGTTGTGTGGGGGTTCCACATTATCGATTAATGAGTCTAACGTGTTGTTAATCATATGATAATTAATGATAACTGTTAAATTATATAGTTAAATTGTTATTTACCATAATTGATAAGTTCATATGTATTCTATCTTTTATTAAATATGTA